ATGCCGCGGAGGTCAGAAGAAGGTGTCGAATTCCCCTGGAACTGGAGTTAAGGAAGGTTCGTAGCTGCCATGCGGGTGCTGGAAATCAAACCTGGGTCCTCTACAAGAGCAGTCAGTGCTCTTCTTAAAGATTAAAACTTCTATTTCTTTTTTCCTTAATTACGTCTTTTAATTACAGAAGTGATAGCGTGCTTGTTGTAACATGTTAAACAATACAAAGATGTATACAGAAACCATCACACATAAACACGCACACACACACATGCACACATACATGCACACGTACGCATGCATACACATGCATACCTAGCATACCATAAGCTTATAAGTGTGTGCATATACACATAGGTTTGGTTTTGGATTTGTATCACATATAAATGGGAGACCATGCTATTACTCATTTTTTTTCACATACTAGATCATGGCTATGTATTTTATTACCTTACTAATCACTACTTAATGATGCACAGTTCGCCTATAGTCTTTTTATATCGAAATTTTCTTGAGATCATGTTCTATTATGCCCTCTTTTTTCTACTTGATTTTTTTTCAATCAGTTCCCATGTCATTAAAGGCTCTTTGTAATTTCATTGACTGCATCGTATCCCAGAATGCAAGTATTCACATTTGCCATTTTATTTCTGTCAGTTGGGGACTTTTTAAAAATAATAGCACAGAGGCTGGAGAGACAGCTCAGCAGTTAAGAGCACTGACTGTTTTTGCAGAGGACCCAGGTTCGATTCCCAGCACCCACATGGTGGCTACGAACCGTCCTTAACTCCAGCTCCAGGGGAATCTGAAGTCCTCTTCTGACCTCTGTGGAATTGTACGACACAAGTGCACTCACAAACATGCAATACACTCATACACATAAAATAAAAATAATAAATAAAATATAAAAAATAATAATAGCACAATGAACATTATAGAGCATTAAGCTGTGTCTACATTTCTGGTTATTTTCTTAAGCATGTGAATACATTTAGAGTCATTGTCCAGACGACCAAATTGCTTTTTCCAGAAAAACTAAGTCTGTTCCCACCAGCTCACTAGCCCCTGCCTATTACCACAGAAGTAACCACTTCTTTTCTTATTAATCTGTTAAATAAGAGGGGCAGGCTACCAGTTAGCTGCATTTTCCAATATTAGTAAGGTAGGTCTAATTGCCTTTTGTAATTCCTCTTGTAAGAACTACTAAGTACACATACCCTTCACTCTGGTTGTCTAAGTTACCCTTTTCTCCCTCGTCCCAGCCCTAAGCCCACCTTCCCCAGGTGTTTATGCCCCAACTCTGCCTCCAAAATAGCTGTTTCCCTTCTACTTCTGCATCCCTTGTGTTTGCTCACCAGCCTCAGCATCCCTCTATTAGCCCTACGGTGACTGAAGGCTCCTGGCTTCTGTGCCTAGGGGCATCCCAGCGTCCCCATGCTAGAGAACAGAGCAACCACATCTGAGTAGAACTCTCCAGGAGGCTGGCTGCCAGGGTGCCAAGGGCTGCCAGGGGGCTAGGATTAGTGTTCACAGGCAGCAGATGCAGTAGGACCCTTTTTGCTCTGAGCTGTGCCCAAGAAGTGTGGGAGTAAGCTCCTCCTGGGCCTTACCTGCTGGGACTTCACGCAACCCTCTCGTGTTTTCCTTTCTCGTTTTTCTCCTCTCATTATTCTGACCCAGACCTTAATTTTCACAAATGATACAATTTGGAGGTTTGGAGTTTCTGCAGGAGAATGCTTGTGATCCTCTGAGCCCTGGGGCCTGTTTGCCATTGTTGGAGAAGAGGGACCCTGGATGCTCTGCAGGCCCCGTCAGACTGTGGTAATAGGCAGGGGCTAGTGAGCTGTGGTGTAAACCTGGTCCTTCTTAGTGAGACTTCACAGAAATCCCACTGGAGCTTTTGCTGCCCCTGCCCTGTCTACTTTCCTTCATAATGATGAATGGCTGAAAAGCAAACTATCTAATCTCCAAACTGCTGGCTTCTTTCCCCTACTCTTTCTTCAAGAAAAGGAGGAAGAACACAGTCACATAAAACAGAGTCCTTCATCGCCTGCTTCTCAGGAGACGGTTCTTTGCCTTTTCATCCTGGGGCCTGTTTCTGATCTGTGATGGGCTCACATTGAAAGCTCCAGGCTGGCCCTCTCTAATCGGCCCCGACAGACGCTGCAGTTGCTTGGGCTGCCCATTGAAATTGAATTGATTACCTGGCCCCTCTGCCATCTTGTTCTGTGCACAATTGCTTAATAGCTGTCACCTTGACTTTCAGTTCCAGCCAGCTTCAGGCTGACTGGTTCCCATTACTCGGGATGGCCAGTGCAAGTTCATCACCTTTACAGGATGTCCCTGATTGATTCCGTATGCCTTGGAGACCTGTAATATATTTGCATAGGGGTGGCTGGGGGTGGAATAGAAACCTCTGGGCCTCAGGGGCTGCCAGGTTTTGCTGCAGGACTCACCATATTTGAATCATTACCTGAACCAGTTTGGCCTCTACTGACATAACTGCTAATGAATTTGTAAATTTCGTAAAAATACAAAACAACCCAGCCTGTTCTAACCCTGGCTGTCGCCACCTGCCACTAGGGTGGCGGCCACAATCAGAAATTGTGCTTTTCAGGCCTGAGCTTGTGCAGGTCTTTGAAATGACAATCTCTCCCTCCTTGCCTCCAGCAAGCAGGAGAGCCTGGCTCGGAGGGAGACATCTTTCAAGTAGAATCCTTTGCACTGGGAACTACTTCAATTAGACAGCAGGGGGAATGTTAACATGCCCTCCGGCCTTTTAAGTGGGTTTTAATTTTATGTTGTAAGATAAGACACTGCAAGGCTGGGCTGCTGCTGCTCTAGCAGGCTCCATTAGAGAGGCCTGCAGAGGCCTCTTGACCTCTCGAGGCCCTGCTGAGGCTGGAAGTCGGTTTGGTTTTTTAACAATTTGTCAGTCTGACCCAGCTTCTCTTTTCCTTCTGTCTTGTTATTCCAGGACCTTCTGTGGCTGAGGGTCTTTGGGTGGCTGAGCTGCACTGAGAGGCCTGGCCCTGGGCAGGAGCAGAGCCCCAAGAGCCACCTACTCATGGCCACAGAGCTGAGCGGTAATCGGCTATTTTGCCTTTGCAAGCAGGGCACAGCAGTAGACACTGTTGTGTGGCAGGCTTCTAGGCCCATGATATATGACCTGCTGGCGCTACTGAATGGTGCCCTTTGTTCCACAAGATCCCATGTGCCCCTTTTTATTGAGTTGTTGATTCAGAGGGGCAAGAAATTTCCACAAATCCCACTGCAGACTCTGCTCTTACCATGTCCAGGTGGGGTAGCCAGAAAGTCAGTAGGAATCTGTAGGCTGCCTCAAGGCAAAATACCCATCAGGAACAACTCCCTTTATCTCAGACTCAGCCAGTTAGGTGTTTGGAAAGAACCTAGAAAAATACACCCAGCCTGCTACCTGAGCTCTAAAAGATGAGTGTGCCGGACAGCATAGTGTCTTTGGAAAGGAACGTCAGGGCAGGTGGGAGTTAAGAGCCTCCTTCTCTGTCCCTGAGCCAAGCCCCCTTAAGGTTTTCTCTGTGACCAGCTGAGGTGGGAGCCAACAGGTAAGACAGGAGGAAGCTTTGCCTCTCGCTGTACAGGAAAATACCCAGCCAGAAGTGCCCTAGAGCCTCCAGGAAGGACCCAGCAATCAGCAGTAAGGCTGGCTACCCAGCAGGAAATCTTAAGTCCTGATGAGGATGGAGCCTGACAGGCACCCCTGTTCTTGCCTCTCTTCTGGGCAAGGGGGGAACAGCTTAGGGAGTGAGCAGTGAGGACAAAAGCTGCAAAGGGAATGCCCCTACCCCAGCAGCACCATCCTGCAGTACCATCTCTTCCATCTAATGGGGCAAGCCCAAGCTGGATCTCACCTCTCCTTTCCCTCCCCATCTTGAGAACAAGCTTCAGGGATCTGGCAAAGGAGGAGACAAGGGGAGCCCTTTGCTTGGCTTCACTTCACCCTGACTGAAGTGAAGATGGCGGATGGACTCACACAGCAGGCTGCTCCGGAAAGCCCTAGACCCTGGCTCCAACTTATTTTTCAGTTCCTTTTTTTTTTCTTTTTTAAAAAATATTTTATTTTTATTTTATGTGTATGAGTGTTAATGTAGGTAAGTGCACCCATGACGTGCAATGCCTGCGGAGGACAGAAGAGGCTGTCAGATCCCCTGGAACTGGAGTGATGGACAGTTGTTAGCTGCCATGTGGGTGCTGGGATTCAAACCTGGGTCTTCTACAAGAACAGTGTTCTTAACCACTGAGCCATCTCTCCAACCCCCAGAACAGTCAGTGTTCTTAACTGCTGAGCCACCTCTCCAGCCCCTCGGTTCCTTTTCTAAAGCAACTGCAAAAATACCACCAAGAATTCTCTACTTGTGAGACTACGCACCCCAGACTGTAGGCTTATGTTGACTGCTAGAAGGTAAGAGAGTCTGATATCTGCCTGCTCAGGCTTTCCAGGGCTTTTGTGGGTCCTGGAGTCTAGCCTCATAACCTGGGGAGTAGCATGAGATAGAGGGACTTTGAACTTATTTCACTTTGAGGGTCCATGGTACAAATGCTCAAAGGTCAGGGGATCCCACCAGGCACTTGAGAAAAAAATAAAGAGCAAAAGGAGAGGCAGACACCATTGCTAAAAAATAGCAAGTTGGTAATAAAGAACATCCACACACTTCACAGTTGTAAGATGGCTTTATGTTTCAATATGTAAAGTAAAATGTCCATAGTATATAACAAAACACTTGAAGCTCCATATCACCTGTCAGCTAATGTGTCTTCTAATAAAGCTTTATCTGCAATGTGTGCATTTATAATATATATATGTTTTATCTAAACCTTCTTAGTTAACATCAAACGTAATAAAAATTTAAATAGTTGTCTTTTCAAACACTCCCTCCAGCATTCATTTTTATTGTTTATTCATTTGTAAAAAGCAAAGCTGAATTTGACATGTGGCCTGCATTTGTGAGATATAGATATATTTATTTATATATTTATTTATATAATATATAAATAGCTATTCAGCATGCAAAGAGTTTAGTGATTTCCCAAACACTTGATTTAGAGTTCACACCAGCCACACCGATGGTCTGGTGACATTCAAGGAACAAAACTGAGGAGGCTGCACTCTCCCCGTTTCAGAAGAATCCTCTGCTCCTCTGAGCTTGAACCGCTGAATTACTTTTTCTCAGTTCTAGTGTTTTCTGCTGGCTTCTGGGTGTGGATTTTCTGGGAGCAGAATGAACCCAGGAGATGGGAACATCAGCTCTGATGAGGTCTCCAGGAGATGTTACCAGTTGAGGTGTGTTTAACTGCCTGTCATCAGGCCGAGAGACTACATGTTGAGAACTGGGAGGAAAGGGCTTTGTACTTTATGACAAAACCTGAATGATGACAGAGATGCTACTGGTGGTATTTTCCCTCTGCCTGGGAGGCAACATTTAGCACATGACCCTTTCTGAAAGTCATGCCTCAGAACTTGGAACTTCAGGAATCAACATCCAGGCTACTGTTCAGGCAACTCTGCTCTCAAAGGGCTCTGAAGCTCAGCGAGTCTCCAGAAGCCAAAGGAGGGGACCTTCTGTTCCCACAAGACTGGCAGCTCCCCTTGCAAGTAGAAGGCCAGGAACCCCAAGATGTGCACAGACACTTCCCACCCCAGCAAAAAGAGTCTCTTCCTTTGGTGGCAGAGACCCTACCTGGCTCCTGAGTAAACCAGATTATATTTTAGAAACCCCTAAATAACTCATGAGCCTTCCATGTCTGTCCTACCGAGGGCATGTCAAGAGATGCCTGGTAACAGTGGACTCAGCTCCTGCAGCCCAAATCACTTCTTAGATAATTGATTTTTTTCTTGACATGATCTCAACTATATGTCAGAAGATAGATGCACTCCAACCACATACATGCACATACACACACACATACACACACACACACACACACACACACACACACACACACACACACCCCTCTGAAATACTTTCCCATGTTTCTTGCAGTGCCGGCCACCCATAGAGGTCAATACTGGACTGACAGGGTCCTGTCAAGGAGACAAAGCAGTCATGTCATCCATCAGTCCAGTTCTCCACAGTCCCCATTCCTGAATGATACTGTAAGGATGACTCCCGGGTCAAGGAGAAGCTTTGTGAGTAGAGGAACTCATTGGCAGCGTTCAGGTGTGGCGAGGGCGGCTTCCTCTCACATACTGTGGGGAGGCCACGCTCTCTAGGGAAGGCAGCAGCAGGCCCCCGCTCACGGACCTGAGACTGTGACAGCTGATTGTACACACTGAAGTGGGCATTTCCTGGCGGCTGGGAGCTCGGGGCCGAGATGGTAGGCAGCCGAGGCATCATACTGGTGGCGGTGAAGTGCGTGGGGAAGGGCTGGTAAGGCACAGTGTCCATGGTCTGCACACTGTAGCTGGTGTAAGGTGAGACTGATGTCCACATGTTACAGCTCAGTGGGGGAGGGGGCAAGTCATCCACCGTAGACACCCCTGCAATCTCGGGCCCTGAGCCTGAGTACATACAGGCTTCTCTGGGGGTCACCTCACTGCAATAGGAGGGGCTCAGCATCTGCTGGTCATAGGGAGGGGGAGAGCGGAAGTAATGATCATCCCCCACTGAAGAGGGAGCTTCTAGATAGGATCGCTTGCAGGGTAAGTCCAGGTGGCGGGCACTGTCTGCTGGAAGATAAAGAAATGTTCAGGAAGAGCCATTTCCACCAGCCCACCCCCACCACATACCAGGATGGCCTACCCTTGCCACTCAGCACCTGCCCTTGCTCCCTATTTCCTGGCACTGCCAGAACCATTTTAATCAGCTACAGCTTTTACGAAGTGCCAGTGACCAAGAAGCAATCAGAATATGGACCCTATCAAAGACCATGGGGGATGCCACATCTCAGTGTCCACACTGAGTGATCACTACACCAGGCAGCACACAGCTCTGATCCTTTGCCAGCCTGACTCTCCGGATGCTAAGAGGCCCTCGTACACACTGGCATTCTCGAGCTAGCCCAGCCTTGGCCCAGGAAAGCAGAGGTAACTGCCAGGCCAAACCAGGCCCAGAGACCACATCTGTCAGAAGTAGCCAGCAAATTAAGGCCACGATGTTTCTGCCTCAACCCTCAGCAGCTATGGAGAGCCTTGGGAAGAAGGCAGTGGTCCTACAGCTGCTCATAGGCAAGTTTTGCTATTTCTAGAAGAGAAATTTAACCCCACTTTATTCAGAGATGATGCATCAGCTATGGTCATACCAATCCTACCATAACAGTCTCTACAGAAGCAAGTAGCAGCACTGGTAACAAGTGAAAAGGCCGCTCTATTAAGGCTGATTTGATACTCTGTGGAAAGATGACATCAGCCGCCACAACCATGTCTATCTTCTAACACCCCCAACTGTGAGGCCTTAACCCTCTGAAGTAATATGCTTTCCCCTGGGACCCAAGGATGACTGAGACATGAGGGTTGGGGCAGCAGCCCTCTCAACAAATTTAAGAACACTTCTCTCTGGCTTATCTTGGCCTCCCTCCTGGGCTTTCTCTAGGGATTCATTCTGGGAGCTGTGCATACAGAAGTGGGCAGCCTGAAGGAGGAGGAGCCTAGCTCATATCGCCTCTGCAGACTGACTCCTGCCTGCCCAGGGATACTAACTGCTCTTCCCTTCCTAGCTCTCTCTTCTCCCAAGTCCTCCTTGCACTAAGCTTTTAGACATGGCAGGTGACCCAGTCACTCTGGATCAGGAAGGAGCAAAGGGCCAGACACTAAGTATCTTAGGACTTGAGGGTCATCCGGTATCTGTCACAACTACTCTGCTACCGTCCTGTGAAAGTAGCCATGGACCAAATGTAAATGGTATGACTGTACTCCAACAAAGCTTTATTATAGATCCTAAAAATTTGAATTTCATACAATATCCACATTGCATGAAATACCCACCTTTTAAAAAAAAACTATTTTCAACTATTTCAAAATTCATAAATGGCAGGCCTACTTTAGTCCAAATTAGGCTCCTGATCTCTAAGTGTCTAAGTTCTAATGGGATTTGTACTGAGGATACTTGGAGCTTTGCCAGACTATTCTCCAGGAGTGGGGCTGAGAGAACATTCTGGTTTACAAGCAAAAGTCCCTGAACTCAATCCCAAGGGAATGTTGGTAGCCAGGTGAGGTCCTCTGGCAGGGAAACACTAGTCAGCCTGATGCTGTCCGTGGAAAAATGGAGGCCTGGCAGCAGAGCCCAAAAGTTCTAGCTCCCAGGTCACTGCTATTCTTCACAAAGAAGCCTAGTGCCCAGAGTGCTATCACCTGAAATCTGCCTCCAGCCACTCATTTCAGCTCCCAAGCAGCCTGTGTAGATCTTGAAGGATGGGGTGGAGAACGCCAGACACAAGGCTATGGGTCCTCTCTGCTCTGGGGTTGAGACTAATAAATGACAGCTTAAGTCCTGCTTCTTCCTGCCTTCTAGACAGGCTTTGTGTCATGGGAACTCACCCCACGGAGGCTCCCAAAGCAACACCACCTGGGAACACCAAGAGCTGTCTGTGAGGATTCCCAAGGCCACATGAAAGTGAGAGCCAGCATTCCTGTGAGGAAAGATGGCTCTGAGCCTGGCCCCAACCCTCAGGTACTCCCATCCCATCCCTACCTCGTCTCTTCAGGCAGTGGTAGAAGAGGCTGGAATCCCTCTGTGTGGGGAAGGTGTTGAGTGGTAGGTCCTGCGGCTCAGCAGCAGCAAACTGCATGTGGGCCCCATTCTCGTACTGGTAGTGCTGCAGCGCCTGGTGTGCGCTGTGCAGGGGGCTGACGTCAGGCTTGGCCGAGAGTTGACTGGAGACAAGTCTCTGCCTCATGATGCTTTTGGAAATCACTGGATACTCCTTGCTGGAGGAGCAGGGAGAGAGTGAAGATGCTTTGAGGGTTCCTGGGTCTGCCCATCCCACCCCTGGCCAGGACAGCCCCACCTCTGCAACCGGGCCACACGCAGGTCACTGTCGTCACTGCCCCGGAATCCCTTGGCAAAAGGGTTGTTCTCAATTTTCAGCTGTGTAATCTGTCAGAAAAGGACACAGGATCGCTAGGAGGAGAAGGACAGGCTGGCTAGTGCCCCTCCTACCTTAGCCCAGGCAGGGTATAGGGAAGCTACATCCTAACCTTAAGCCAACTCAGAGTTCAAAGTGTGGCTGGTCCTCCCTGGCCTTGTCATTCATCTCTGGCCTGCCCATGGCTCCCTGTTCTATTTGTTCTAGACCCTTCTATTCTTTCTTCTGCACTCCCTGGCTGCTGCCCCTCTCTTCTGGGTCCCCGTGACAGCTTTCCAGTGAGCTTTCCACAAGTGTCACCTCCATCTAGAGCAACTGTTGTACCAGACTCTGAGTGTCTAGACGCAAATCTATCTTTGTCCTTCTAAAAATCCACCTCAGCCTATGGCCCCTCCCATCTGACCAAGGTATGTGATGTGAGAAGCACCCTGGAAAAGGGGGCAGAAGCAAAGAGGCAGGAGAGTGGCAGGTCAGGACCGGACAGTGACTGGCAGGGTCCAGGGCACCTCTCTCTACCCCTTACTCCTCTCCAGGCTGGCCCACAACTGTGCCTGCAGGAAGATTACAGAAGAGAGGAGCCTAACTCTCAAACCCCAAAGCAGGCTCCATTTCCCAGGACAGCAACCACAACTGCTCTGTGCTAGAAATCCATTTGTCTAGTCTCCCTTTTTATTCATCACTCAATTGCCCAGGGTCTGCATCAGCCTCGCTTCATTTTGGGGGCAGCAGGCAGGCCAGGTGGTGTCTCAGTGGGGTTATGACTATACCTTGTGGTTCTGGTAGGAGGTCACGGAGATGAAGGAGGTCTCTGGAAACACGTGAGTGCAGAAGGCTGTGTTTTTAGAGCCAAAAGCATTGTTCTCATCGGCCTTAACGATGTGCAGCCTCGGCTGGTACTTATGCATGGAATTGAGGATGATCTGGGAGAGAAGATCTTACTCTGAGCTGCAGGCCCCACCCACTCGCCCCTACTGGGCTGGCCGTCCTCCTCCTGAAAGCCTAGGGACCCAGGCCTGAGCCAAGAAAGGGCCCTAATTCTATCCCCACAGGCCCACCTAGACTCTGCTCCGGCACAGATATCTGATGCCAGTTTTTGTGGTATGGCGGATAGTTTCACTGTGACTATCAAAGAGCCTAGGGAAAGTCTTGAACAGCTGAAAAGCCCCAGTGTGTTCAGTGCAGTGCAGGAGCGAAGATGTTCTGGGCTGAAGGCAGGAGTCCAGGGTACTGTTGACTCACTGTGCCACCTTATGCAAAATCCTTCACCTTCTCTGAGCCTCATTTGTGGGATCTTAGTACTCAGCTCCCCTGCCTACACACACACACACACACACACACACACACACACACACACACACACCACACTCATGGGTGCCCTGCCTTTCCTAGAAACACCTGCTAGAGCACTCAGCTGCCACATCTGTCAGCAACTAGTGCAGGGGTTTGCAGGAAAGAGAGGAGAGAGAAGCTGAGGGAAATGACCCATTGTAGCCCAGAGGATACTGGGAGACTAAGTGCCCTCAGAGCTGCCTAAGGCAGTTCCTAGCCTAGGAACACTCATCACCAACACAAAGTTTCGAAAACAATGTCTGGGAAGGCTAGAGACCTCAGGCATCCAAGAGCCATGGGCTCTCCAGAAGGCAAGGCAGCCAGGGTGACTGAAGCTTAGGGAAGAGCCCAAGATGCTCAGCCACCATAGCCCAAGTAGAAACACACAGTAGTCGCTGCCCCCAGCCTGCTTCATATGGCTGTGCCCCACAGTAGCGGCTACATCACGTGCCATTAAAATGTATTTTTTATCGTTGACATTTGCCAGATGCCCTCCCACTGGAGGCAGGACCAGGAATTTGGGGCATTTTATCAGCACTGCTGCATCTGTTAACCCCTTGCTTTCTGTACCAGTGAGCTGGCCCTTAGCTCCCATTCACCTCCAAGCCCTTTCCTCTGCCTGGGGTGCCCCTTCCAGGCTCCATGGGCCAGGTCTGCTGCTGCCTCCTTAAAGTGAAGGGTTTAACCCTTAGGTAACCACAGTGCCATGAGTTGGGCTCTTTCCTAGAAAGCCTGGCTCAATTCTGAGTTGGGGAAGGTTCCTGCTCTCATCCTGCCTAAGGGGCAAGGATGGCCCAGAGGGCTGGCACAGCTGAGGATGCGGCAGGCCAGAGGCTGATTGTGGGCTTGGCCTGCTCTGGGCTCTGAAATATGGCTAGGTAGCTCTGCCCAGCAGAAGTCAGCCTTTCTCTCTTGTGTGCTAGCTAACACCCTCAGTGACAAAGCATGTACAGAGCTTCCCAAGCTGGGTCCGTGACCTCAGACCCACTTTCCAACTCAGAATGAGGCTGAAGGACACGTCATTTCTTCGGAGCTGGGAATGTTCCAATAGAGTGGGTCTTACGAAGAGCTTTGAGGCCCGATGGGTTACTCTGTCACCCAGCACCAAGCCACATGTACCTACAGAGGGCCCTTGTTTCCTGAGGACCCAGCCAGTGAGCTCTTGGGAGGCAGCCTCGCTGGGTTCCTGCCTCAGCTGCCTATGTAGCCCTTCTGCAGGCCTGGTCTCCACTTCTGCCTTCACCTCCAGTCCTGCCTTCTCTTCCTTCTGCAAGGGCCTGGCCCCTCTGGGAATCTCCCCAAGGCCTGCTCTGAACCGCTCGATTCTGGATCTCCTTCACCCTGCTTTGCCTGCTTCCCTGTGGTTTCCTATTTCTTCTTCTCTCTTCAAACTATAAACTCACTTAGGACTGGGAGTATCGATTCAATCCTCAACACCTCAAAAAATAAACTCCCCAAGAGAAACGGCCTTTCTTTTGTTCCCTCAGCACCTCAGGCTTCTTGGCCTAGTGAGTGCAGAGCCAGGCCTTGGCTGCAAGTTCCTCCTCTGTAGATTTTACTTTTGTCACTAGAGGCAAATTAATCTCTAAGGCATTTTTCAGGTCGAAGTTTGAAATTGAACGTGTGCACAATCTTTCTGCGGGCACTCAGACACTGCGGTTCCCCAAAGAGAGCCAGGCCCCCGGTCCTTCTGGCTCTTCTCGGGTGTCAGCACAAAGGGAGAGCAGGACAGAACCCCAAAGAGAGGCCATTGTACCAACACTCCAGTGAGCTGTGTCTGACCCTTAGGACAGACTGCGACCACCTCCTGGTTCCTGGGGTAGCTGGGTACCATCACGGACCACCCCTGCCCCACCCCTTCTCACTGTCACCTGCCTCCAGAACTAACTGCTCAGTGACTGAGTCTGCCTACCAAACAGAAACTTCACCTCTTCCATGCGACCCTGGCCTGGTCACATTCTCCTCATTTCCACCACCTACTACATCTCCCAGATACATCTTGTACCATGTCACTCCCCTGCTCAGAACCTTCCAGTGCACCCAGGAAGGCAGGCCCTTCTGGTTCCCTCTTCCTGCCCCACGTTCTCCCACTGCCACTCCTGCCAGTAACTCAGGGCTCCATTAAAGCCTTATGTTCAAAATGCCGCTTTGCATGGTTCCTTCTGGCCCCCTGGAATGAAGGTCAACACCTTAGCCTATGAGACAGTGTTTTGTCCCTGTTGACTGGAGTGGAGAGACTGCCACACATACCTTCCAGAAGATAGAACCACACTGGTTAAGAGGGGAAACAAATTGCTAGACCTGCAGGGACAGGTAGGAGCCACTGGGGGGCGGGGATGTGCCATCTTAGCCCCAGAACAGTCCAGAAGAGCCAAGAAGTCTCCTCCATGATATCTGTTCACCATCTCTACATTCAGAGCAAGCTCTTCAAACACCGGAGTCCCCAGGTATTAAAGTTAGGGCCCCTCAACTAAGTAGTCCTAAATATTTTTTCCATCTCTTTACAGTCTGGAGCCTGCTGTCAAGAAGGAAAGCCCTACCATCAAACCAATGCACACGTGAACCTCAATCCCAACAGCCTGGATGAATGTGAAATCCACCCAGCAACTCACACACCAGGCTTTGCTTAGAAGTTCCTCAGGAACCACATTCAACTAATTTTCAAGTCTTCCATTTATATCTGTTGTAGAGGGATCCTCGGCCAAATGGGCCGGCCACATCAACAACCCCACAACATGACTGGTTCCATCATCATCCTTGTTCTACAGAAATGGGATTCATTATGTTCTGGACACAATTCAGAAGCCTGTTCTATTTTAATAATTGCAATAGTGCCAAACATCCATCTCCTCGAGAGCTTAACATAGCGTGCTTTGCCACCGAGGTCCAGATTTCTCTCCATTAGAGACAGAGAACATGAGGGCATGGAGAGGCAGAGTGCAGAGAGTGCTCTAGCCCAACCCCTAGGTTTACAATGAGGAACAGAAGGCCTGGAGTGGGAACATGACTTGCTCAAGGACACACAGCTGGGTGAAGGCTGCATCCCCAGTAGATTCCAGATGGCCTTTGAGAGAGCAGATCCTGTTCCCAACAAGCTTCATAACTGATGATAAAGTGTCGGCCAAACATTGTAAGGGATGTGGACCTTCCAGATCCTATGTCCACTCCAGACTCCAGTGCATCTGGATACTAGCCACACAACAGTGGGCTAACAAATATTTTGTCATATTAAAGCTAGATTTATGCAGCATCAAAATCTTACTAAGATTACTTTCTCCATCATCATCCTGCAGAGTGTGGTGGCTCACACCTATAATCCAAGAAGGTCACCAAGAGTTCAAGGGCAGCCTAGGCTGTAGAATGAGACACTGTCAAAAGAAGAGGAGGGCAGGAGAGGAAGGAGAGTAGGGAGGAAGGGGAGAAAGAAAAAAGGAAGGGAAAGCGGGGAGGAAGGAAGAAAACTGAGGGCCAGAGAAGTGGTCCAAGTCTAGAACCAAGTCAGGCAGCCCTGCAACCCACTCAAGAATCCTTGGGCCTCCCTCCCAGAGCAGCAGCCTATGGCTCTCCCACAGAGCCAGGAACCTTCCTGCCCTCTCTCACAGCAGCAGCAATACCTTGGGCTATGTATCGTACATACATCATCATAATTAATTTTAACAATGTCCTTACAAAGTCAACATCATTACCATCCTTATTTTAACAGATCAGGAGCTGAATGTCAAGAGAGAAGACATTCACACACAACAGAGATCTGAGGCAGAGCCAGAATCAGTACCTAATTCCAAACCTGTACTTTCCTTTACTGGGGCTGATCTGGAGTTCTCAGGTTTCTGTCGCTCCCAAGGCACTGGCAAGGGCTTGGCACACTATCAGTCAGCAAACATGAGTGACAAATCAGGAAAAGAGACATAAAGCCGTGGGGAACATTAGCCCCAGCAGAGGAAGGGCTTCCCGTCTAAACACCACCCCCTTCTGTGGGTACATTACTCACGTGCTGTCTACCAGCACCCAGTGCTTGCCAGGCATGGTGCCAGGCACTCAGACACATGGTGAGTCATACCATCACCCAAAATACAAGTGAAAATATGTGGTGAGAAAATGTGGTGGAAGAAAGACTGCCCTTAGGATGGTAGCATGTGAGATGACAAATCTGACAAGAGATTGCGGGGCCCTGGGGAGGGTATCTGTGATCATTCTGAAGCACAAAGCAACACTGGCAAAAGAAGGGGATTCCTAGTGATCTTCCCAAAGGAAACTTATAATTTAAAGGAATTACAGTAGAAATATGAGTAAGTTTCTTTTTCAACACTACACGCTGATTCTACAGTTCATATGAAAATATATATATATATACCACTGGCCAAGAAAACTGAAAAAGCAGAGCCAGAGGACGATCCTTGCCAAACACAACCCATCATGAAGTCTCACAGTTAAGGCAGCTGGCACATGAATAGACAAATTCACATGGGGCCCAAGAGTATTCAGGGAGGGAAGTAGACCTTTAGTTACTAATGCTGGAACAACCAGGCAACTCGCTAAAAAGAGAAGAATTGGGATTGACACGTCATAGCAAATGCCAAGATAGTTTACA